CTATGATGAAAATTACAGGCCTCTCATCTTTTTAAGTGGGAGAACTTGCACAATTGGTGGCTGACTAAATACTTTTTTGCCCCACTGTAACTAATATCTATAAATAAGATTAAAAAATAATAATTATAACAAAAATTAAAGTACACCTATGTATATAAACACTGGGAACATCAGTTACATTAGACAAATGCTCCAAGGAACAACATTAAAAGATCCCAACCCCCCAGCCTGCTGGAACAGCAAATTTTAATGGTCTTCCTAACAACCAATAGAGTAAGAACAATTTGGATTTACATGGGAATGCTCTTCCACAGAAGGGCAGCAATTCAGAAGGCTCATTTCCATGATCTCTGTTGATATTCCCTGAGGGAAGGAATATGGAGAGAGCATGCACTACCATATCTAAATGGACAGACAGAAAGAATTGGGAATAGGCAATCCCAAATATACTCAGGCTCTGACCCCATGTTGATATCTGACCTCATTCAATGGCTTTAGTAGATGTCAAATTCGAGTGGAGGGGGATTGAGCCTTGTGGTGCCATACAACGAAGGAACACAAGACTTAATATCTCCCCCAAAGCACCACCAACAGGAACCATTAGGATGCCATGTTCAGTGGTATTGAAGGCTGCTGAGAGATCAAGCAATACCAGGAGGGTTATACTCTCCCTAACTTGGTCTTGTCAGAGGTTACCCACAAATGCAATCAGTGCAGTCTCAGTACTATGCTCAGGCCTGAACACAGACAGGAATGGGTCCACATCATGTATTTTTCCCAGGCTCTCTGCAATTCAGCTCCACCACCTTCCCAAAACCCTTTCCTCAAAAAGAAAGATGGTTGAAGATTGTCCAATAATTATCCACAATTTCTAGATCAAGCAACAGTTTTCTGAGGAGGGGCTAGACCACTATGTCCTTCAAGGCAGTAGGGATCAACCCCTCTCTCAAGAATGTATCTAATACCATCCTGACCCAAATCCTAGTCACCTTCCTGAAAGTTTTCATCAACCAGGAATGGCATGGATCCAGAATACAACCTCACAGAGAATCTTGTCCACTTCTTCAGGACTGAAAATGCAGTTTCAGCCATCTTATCAGGATAAGCAAATCTAAGCAATCCTTCAGATGCCTAGAAAATTCCTTATAGTAACCTAAGAAATATTATTCTGGCTCATCCTTTGGCTAACAGAACTTGGTAATTTTAAAAAGATTCTCTGGCCAGCCATCTGAGGGTGCAGTAAGAGTGAAGAAATATTAATGTTTCATGACTTTTATTGCCACAGTGTAGGTTCAAACATGAGTTGTTATCTCTGTTCAGTCTGATTTACTCTTTCCCTTCCACCAGTGACACTCTAGATGTCTCCTGATTCCTTTCATCTCCTGGAGTTCCTCAATGGGCCAAGCAGTTCCTCTGGATTGGAGAACTGGGAAAGGCCACTCAGGCACAATCTGTCCAAGGTCATCATGAACCACTTATTGTGTTTAATTGTTTTTTTTTGGGGGGGGGGTCTGTGTGTGTGTTAAAGGTTGTTTGAATTGCATTTTTGTTTTCTGAATTGTATAATTGTGCATTATATAGTTAGTTATTACTTATTATTTATATTGTTATTAAACATATATCTATGCAACCACAATCAAAATAAGTTTCAGCAGCTCACACAGAATATAAGTTTTAACTTTTTCTATTTCTTTACTCTGTTGTGGATTTATTGTTAGCCACTCCAAGTCAATATTATTGGAGTAGCATCTAAATCAGAAAATAATAAAAATAAAACATAAAATAAAACAAATATTTCTGAAAATCACCATGAGTTATTGATATACAAATATTCTAAATAAACAAACAGACACATAATGTATCCCTGCCTCCCCATTTGTAACATGGGGATGATAATCCTGGAGTAGCTGAAAAGTTACCAAGCTGTTGAATATAATGCCTTTTGGCAGTTAGTGAGCTCATCATCAGCTCCACAGAGCAGCTAGCAATTTACTCTGAGTAAATCTAACTCATCCAAACTTGAGTAAATCTCCTTGGTTTATTCTGGGATTTAATTGTATTAGCTTAGTTAAACTTGAAAAAAAAAATCCAGTCAGTAACGGATCTGTCTAACCTGGACATTTCAAGAACTCCATCTGCATAGCGCTCTAGTTTGTCAAGCTCTGGCTGGAGAAAAGAATCCAACAATTCAAAGGAAAAAGCAGTTTCTTCGGCTGAAGGAACATGCCACTGAATATTAAGTTTCTGTAGATCACCAGGTTTACCCCAGTCCTGTAAAAACAACACAAGGGTGTGCATTTTGCCTTTAGCAAAATTAGAAAACTATCACAAGTTGTAACATTTAACAATGAAATTCTTATTCCAGACAAAAGGACCTTGAACACTTGACTTGGCAAGAGATGAATTAAAAGATTATTAATACTTAGTTAATAGTACCCTACTTTTGATAACTGGAAAGTTGGCCTGGAGCAATTTTGGGGTAAAAAAACTCATTGAAAACATCTTGCCAAAGAAAGAATATGTATATATGAAAGCCGGCTGGGCGACTTTGGACCAGTCATTCTCTCTCAACCCAATCCACCTCACAGGGTTGTTGTTGTGGGGAAAATAGGAGGCAGGAGTATTAGATATGTTTGCCACTTTGAGTTGATCTCTCTCTCTCTCTCTCTCTCTCTCTC